GAAAGGGAAAGACTGAGCCATGGTAACCAAACCTCACGATTTAATTAGGATCGCATTTGCTCAATTATATAATGCTTCCGAAAATTTTAGTCCATTTTGATGTACTTCCCTTTGACTTCACGCGAGACTCAAAAAATGTCCGCTTCATGCCCCATAGTGCGAGTTTCATAACTTCACACCCGCTCTCCTACTCAAGGAAGGAGACAGAAGTGAATTGGGACGGAACTAGTTCCTTACTGGTGATATCTAAAAAGACAGAAGCACTCAGAGAAAAAAACACCATTCGATTGTGGTTTTGGCACAGTATTTATTTATTTATTTCAAATGACAGGCGTTTTGATAGATATCATTAGCCATTTAGCGGACTTCAGGCTTCACAGAGGGAAGGTTCATCAAAATAGCAGAAAGTCGGGAGGTGGGGAACAGAAGAGCGATTCACAGATGTAAAAGAGGCAGACAGACACAAAGGTATAGAAAAAGGTAAGGTGAGTACTGCGGAAGGGGTCAAATATGACAACCAGGGGGGGTCGTGGTAGTTAGAAGCCAGAAGTCAACTGCCGGTTAATAGACATTTTTGCCGTATGAGTATACGTTGCCCAGGGCGCACCACGTGGAGGTAAGTCTATCGCACACCCCTTGGCACAGTATTGTGAAGGCGAATTCAACAGCATAGAGGAGGAGAAATGAAGTTAGTTAGTTAATTTTAATTGTTTTTTGTTATTCCTGCTTGTAGTCCAAGGAGATCGAGGCAAAACTGAACAATGGTTTGATCGCGGGTCACGCCTACAGTGTCACTGGAGTGGACAGTGTGAGTCCCCCTTCTTCCTTCTCTCTTCACTTTTTTGCTTATTGAATGCCCTTTAGTTAAGGCAGTTATTTGCATAGATTGCTTGACCAATCAATGATAAGGCGAGAGGAATGTTAAGAATCGTTCACACAACAGTAACTACATTTTATAGCATAATTACAAAATTGACCTTGAATGAAATCCAGTACGCTCTGCTCTCTTCCACCAAATACACACAAAACTTCTCTGGAAAGGATGTTAACTCCTCAAGGTGACATGACTGATCACTCGATCAAGTCAGCTGATTAATAAGGAGTAGACGATTCACTTAGAAACCTTGTGTGGTCAGATAGAAAAAAAACGGAACTTTGGATATCCGGATTTCAATACCAGATTTTACCCTTTAGGTGAAATACAAAGGACAACTTGTGCCCTTAATCCGAATTCGTAATCCCTGGGGTAACAACTATGAGTGGCGTGGTGCTTGGGCCGACAATTCACCCGAGTGGAGGGAAGTGAGCGAGTCGGAGAAGAAGCGTCTGAACGTCAACTTCCGCGGTGACGGCGAATTCTGGCAAGTCACATTCTTAATAGCACCACGTGGGAATTCAGCTTTCTGATAAATCCCTACCTGACGTTATTAAACTTCCGTTTAGTGTTTTAAAGATACTATTTTGCAGGCAGACGCATAATGCAACAGACAAGAAGAAATTGCGAGGAGCTGTTTTGTTCCTGGGATTCAGAATAGTTATTTTTTCAGGTGATCATTAGAGCGGACTCATTCATTCACTTCTGCATTGACAACAACAATGTGGTCATCATATGTGCCCATTTTTGGGAGGCTTTAGAAAATCTAAGATTAGTAGCTGGGAGTCCTTGTCGATGAACGGCTCTCGAGATATAGTCAGTAAAACTCTATCGTAGGTATTCCTTCCTTTTCGCGACCATTAACGAATCGCTTCGCATTCCTCCATGTTCTGCTCCAATTCCACTGACTCTAATTCTATTCTGTTTGGGCTATGAGTTAATATTTGATTAATTGACTACTGTGTTAGTCAATATGCCTTAGTGATATTTTTTGCTACTTTTTAGTGCCTAATGCCATAATGAACCTTTCGATAAAGGGAACTTGCCAGTTTCCATTAGGCAAAGTTTGGTGGTAGCTCTAGGGATTGTGATCCTCTGATCCGTCTTCTAGCAGTGTTAAGAAGCCGTAATAGATGATTATTCCTAATTTCTCTCTAACTGATAACTGCGCGCATATTAAATATGTTGGAGTTGTTGGAGTACCTGTTTTGACATCAAAAATGTTGCAGTTCTCATTTGAATACTTTTGACATTGTATTTTATAATGCTTCTCGAAATAGGATGTCAGTTGATGACTTCCGGAAGTGTTTCACCAAACTGGAAGTCTGCCACTTGGGCCAGGAGTCTCTAGATGACGATCAGACTGTCCATGGCAAAAAACGCTTGGAGGAAACTTTATTCACTGGTGAATGGACAAAGAGTGTCAATGCTGGTGGATGTGCCAACTTTAGAGGTTTGTCAATTGAATGAATTTGCTAGTAAAACCGACAACACCCTCCAAGAGACCACTAAATATGCACTATTGACCACTTCTAGATACATTCTGGACTAATCCTCAGTACAAAATCACTGTCATTGACGCAGACCCAACTGATGACGAGAATAAGTGCACTCTCGTTATTGGTTTGATGCAGAAAAACATGCGAAGGAAGGGAGCATCCAAATTCTTCACCATTGGCTTCTGTGTCTACCAGGTGAATGTTCATCCGATTGCTTAATTGTTCGAATATTGGTATTCTGCTGTACCAATGAAGTTGGTCGATTTCCTCTTAGATCCCCGCGGACACTGAGGGCATTCTTAAGCGCAACTTCTTCATGAACAACCGTCCAATTGCCATTTCTGAGTTCACCAACACACGTGAGGTCGTGCTCAGGTTGAAGGTGCCTGCCGGTACCTACCTTGTTGTTCCCAGCACCTTCAATCCCAATGAAGAGGCGCAATTCATCGTCCGATGCTTCACGGAAACTCACATCAAAGAATCGTAAATTTAAATTCATTAAAATTGCGAAGAACTTCCTTATTTCCCTTCTAAAGTATAATTTTCAACACTTCTTCATTCAAGTGAATGCGATGACAAAAATAGTTTCAAGGGATTGTCGGAGGTAAGTCAGTGGCGAAAGTTGTGTTTGGAACTGCGTAAAATCCAGAGTTTGTTTGTTTTTGCTTGTTTCAATTCTCTGTAATTTTCTCTTTTATAAGGAAACACTCAAAATCATCAAAGAGACAGAACAAACGAAGGTATTTTTTTCCCGTTTACTTTCACCACCAATCATAATTTCCAAATTTAATTGTATTCTTTTTTGGCATTTGTATATTTACTTGTTTTAGAATGAGGATGACTATGTCGACAAGTTGTTCCATTCGGCTATGGATCCATACACCAAGTCGATAAATGCAGAACAACTTCGTGATATCTTGAATAAATCATCCATGAAAAGTAAGAGGCAAAGTGACATTTTGTGTGTGCCCTTATAAATTTGTAAATCGCTCAATTTCTTCTGTCCTTTTTTGTAGAACAATGTCTTGATGCCGAAGGCTTCTCCCTGGAAGAATGCCGCAGTATGCTGGCAGCTATGGATGTGAGTTTGACTTCAATGGGAATCAAATTGAAATTATTTCATTTTTGTTTTAATAAAGTTATCGAGTAAAAATGTAATTTTTTAAGAACAACTTAACAGGCAAAATGGAGTATGATGAATTTAAAGCACTTTGGGAGAATTGCCAGTGCTGGAGAGTAAGTCAAATGCTTTGATTTGTATTTTACTTAATAAATAATTACATTGGTGCAAGTTAAATGTATTTTCTTTTTTAACAGGATGTGTTTGTTAGTCGTGATAAGGATAATAGCAAAACTCTTAATGTGGCAGAACTTCGTGATGCTTTAGGCTGCGCTGGTATGTCCTTCCTACGCCAAATTGCCAAGCCTTAACTAAAAGAATATCATTTAAAATAACTTTAAGGTAGAAATGATACAAATACCTTTCCACCCTGGATACAGTTTTGCCCGAAATAGAAAATTAAATGGGAGTCTAATAACTTAATGTTCAGAATTATAGCAAATAGAATTAAAGTGGGGTTGAGGGCGAGTAGCCGTGTTCGAGCAAAGGAATTTCATTCCCAGTTTTGAGATCAAACACTAAGTGTCAAATGAAGAAACTCTACTCAAAGTATTCCATAATTTCCTTTATACTAATTTATTTTTGAACATGGGAAAAGACAAACATTTCACGAGAATTGCGTTTATGTCGATATTTAGTGTGGAATAACTCAACCAAATCCAAATTCAGACATATGATGTGCTTCTTCATAGTGTGACACTGGCTTCCAAATAATGAATTTCAATTAACCATTTTTGCATCGTTTCATTTTATTTCTTTTAAGGTTTCCACCTTTCTGGTCTGGTGTTCACTGTGGTGGTTCACCGCTTTGTCACCCAAAATCTCAACGCCGTGACATTTGAAGATTGGATTCTCTGTTGTGTGCGCTTAAAAAATTGCTTTGACAACACGAAGGCCCAATTCAAGACCAATGACGGCAACCTAATGTTCACACCCGACGACGTAAAGTTTAATAATAATATTTTTGATTCATTTAAACAAAACGATTCCTCGATAATAATTATTTACTCCTTTTTTCTTTTAGTTTCTTCGACTAAGTATTAATCAGTGATTGATCAATTCGTCGAGATCGCATGAAACCATTTTCGCTCTTCGTGCTTTTTTTTTCTCTCATGATATCCCCACTCCTCACTTTTATCTCTACACCCTCTCGTTTGGTGCCTTAAAAATTAATGATCCGATCTTCAAACTCTCTTTTCTTTACCTAGCACTGATTGCATTATACTATGGTAATATGTGTGTGTGCAGTAAAATCTTATACTTCGGGAGGGTGTGTGTATGTGTGAGTGTGCTATTGTTGTACTGTTACCAACAGTCCTTGTTGTTGCAGACTGCAGAATTAGTTTAAAGTGAGTGCCATGTTGAATGTGATTGGCACAGTTACTTACAATCTCCACTTAATTAGTGAGACATGAAGAGTTAATGTAGTTTAGAGAAGCATTACAAGATCAATATCAGATAGAATAAGTATTAGACCTCTTATAAACGGTTATACAGAATCAAAAACCGACACTTTTAATGACCCCTTACTATTGTAAATACAATATGAGCTTCAATTTTGAGCTATTCCAAATGAGAATTAGGGCTAAATCAGGCACCCTCTGTAAAATTAGGCTACAATCCTCGTGAGTACGTTCTCATTTTTTGTGACCTTCAAGTTCTGATCATACACGAAATAACTGACCTATTACGCACAAAATTATTGTCTACAGGTCCTCCACTCTATCCAAAACTCAAAAATATTTTACACTATTGACTAGAATTTAAATGAATGAAATGACAGTCAAGTTTTCTGCTAAGTGTTTGACAATTTCAAATTGACCGAAATCGGGAAGCAACTGTTGTAGCGGAATTTAATTTAAGTAAAAGTTTAAAATGCGGAATGCTCAGTTATTCAATGGATTCAACACGTTAGGCTAAGTTTATTCATATGTGTTAATTCGTTGACATGTTTTCAAGATGACTAAAAATGGAATCATCTCGAATGCTGATGCAAATCAATGTCCATCTCAAAGGTTGGTAAAATTTTCGCCAATATATATTTCCTTTAATCGAAAATAAATTAAATTAGGGTTTTTTTAGATTACTCAGTTGCCTACTCCATGAAGGCACAGTTACTCATTCACTTCGAAAAGGCAAGAAATAGACGCTCCACTATATAAAAAGGAAATGCACTTTCATAGCATTTGATGCGGTATTGAAGTGTCGTGCTGTCTAACTAATATTGGCAACAATGCATTCTTCGCTGATTGTCTTACATGTCAAAGCTTGAAAATAAAATTCAAACATTTATAGTTGAATACACATACCTTTTGTCATCATATTTATAAAAAATGAAGCTAAAAAATTGTAAAGAATTATGATAACCCGGTATAATTAATGACTTTAAAAAGGTGTGAAAAACCAATCATATCACTTGATAAAATTATACAGTTCAATCTCAAATGAGATCAAAAAACAGTATCCAACTGTCTACCCAAATAGTTTATAAAATTTTTTTATTGGCAATTACTTAATCTACCGATGAAAAATAGCAAATACTTTTAAAGCATATCAAAAAACGCATTAATTAATTAATTTAAATAAAGGGTAAGAAAAGTGCTTTGATGAAAAGCACACGATCAACGCGTGCTATCGATAGCCGCAAATTGCCACAACCATCAAGAGACCGTTTGGCACAAAGGGCTATACATCACATGTCGTTGGAGCTATTTTCTTATTAAGCATTCTTCTATTAAATTTTAAATGGTCTGAAAATGATTCATTTCTAATCGATAATAGTAGAAAGTGCTTTAGTAAAGATTCACGAGGAAGTCAAACACATCCGAGATATAAAAATGCAATGTAAAATTCAGAATCCAGCAGTATCACAAAGTATTAATTATTCTGAATTTTTAAAACACTATAATAAATCTAGGGTAGTTTGACAATATATGCTACATATATCAATGTCCTAGCACAAATTCGGAAATCCATTTTCTGTGTGTCATTTCAACTCTAAGTTAACGTCAAAAAGAAGACACAATCAAGTAAAAGCCCAATTTTCTGAAAGATTGCTTAAGAAAATTGTAGCTGGATTAAGCACCCATCTATGCACAATTTAAGCTAATTAAAATCTTACATGGAATTATGCATATCTGCTAAAATTATTTACCAAATTATTGAGGAAATCGCTGAATATTTACACTTAAATGCGTCTAGAATTTCAAAATTTTCGAATTCACTAGTTAGAAATGCCCATATAACTATTTCTGGATTGGTACACGGATAAAATGTCAGGTAATAGTGAAGTTAGCGCTATATTGTATTACTTCCGAATAATGACACAAAGTTTACTCTTGAAGTAAACATTTATGGTTAACGAGGCCACCATTTCAAAACCAAATAAAATAAAATATAATCAATAAGCATATTTTGTTAAAAGGCGGATTAGCAGTTTCCAATAACAAAATAAATGATATAGGTAAATTAGCCAACATGAGTAAGCGTATATAAAATGTATATTTTAAACATTCGCATGTACTGCAACTAAATAAATTTATTTTAGAAGATTGATGTTATTAATAAAGATTGATGGAAAGAGTACTTTAAATTATCAACAATAAATGCATTTCAACCCTAGGGTTTGTTTTTATGAACCAGATTCTGATTACATTTGTAGAGGTTATTTATTGAACGTATTCGTTATTATACAGTATTATTCAATTGAGCTGCATTTTCATTAAGAATTAAAGCATCAGGAGACTTATAATAATAAAAATAAAGTATTATGCAAGAAAAGGTTATTTATAAAAATTGTTCAAAGATAAATCAAAATAATTTTTGCCATTGTTTTATAGTTATTATATATTTATTCCTATACATGGATGCATATATGTACATACTTCCAGTAATACTTATTTTAAATCGCTTCAGACATTTTACTGCATGTTATTTTTAGACACTCTTTATATTTATACTTAATACAAACGAACATCTTTTGAAACATGACGTGTTTAATAATGAATCCGTCAAGATCGTAATAATTTTTCCCGTTTGACGATCTACCTTAAGCATGTAAATAAGCTTGAATGTTAGCATACCAGAAATCGCATCTTTTGATGGCCACTTAAGCTGCATAAGTCTTTTAGTCGTTAATACTTCAGAAGTAAAAGAATTTGTCATACTAAGAAAATGTAAATGTTTTATATTTATTTCCTAATAGTTTTAGCTAAATTTTTTATTTTAGCGAAATGTCTATGAGGCATGGATTTAACTGAAATTCTACACTCAATTCGTTTACTTGCATCCCTATTTATGCTGTATACAATTTTTCCAGTAATATCTCATTCTGAATTTATTCTTCTGCGCTATAAAGACCACTCCTTTTGGCTAGGAATCGGGTAAGAGCTGCTTAAAATCATAAATTTCCATTTAGAAACCAAATTTTTGAAGTAAATACGCTTAACATGGCTGCCAGCCCCAAGCATATTCTCACGTGGTTTCAACGCGAACATTGTTTGCGATACCGTATTTCCAGTTCCTGTAGTGGATCTATCACACATACTACTGAAGTCGAATCTGGTCTGTTTGAAATTTGTGGGCTGATGCAGCAGAGGGCCTTTTGCGGCCTCTATACCGCTTCTGCTCAAGGAATGCTGTCAGCTGTGTCCGAGAAACGCGCCGCTGGTGAACTCACTAATCGAGCTCTTGAACCTTCTCTACTCCAGCACGCAGGTAGGAACGTAGCTGCCTAGTCCCTTCATAAAACCTTAAAGTCAATTTTGAGTTTATAGGAAGAATTTTTTCTCGAAATTTGGCAATTCATAATTTCCATCTCTACTTTCTTATAAATTTAGTTTAGTAGTTCAACTAAAACATGATGTGCTGGTGATAAAAGTGGCTAAATTCCTATAATCACTTAAATAGTATTTGCAATCGATGTTTAAAAAATTCGTTTTCATTTATTTTTAAACTGCAGCACATTAATTATAGAATATATTGAATACTAATAAGGCAAAATTGTAGAAAAAATATGTATTTCAAATGACTAATTAAAAATGTCATTTTGATTATGAAGGGACGAACAAAGGAAAAGAAAATCTGTTGTGTTTGTTTATTTGAGAACTGGGTGGGTGGGGGGAGGGGGGTGGAGGGGGGTGGAGGGGGTGAGTAGATATACTGCGTAAATCAAGGAGTAAATTTGTTATTGGCTGTTTGTAGGTTTAGAGTTGGCCTGTTGTAATAGTTGAATGACTTTAAGAGTTATAGAAACTATTTGGATGTTAGAGGTAATACTGATTACAAATGGGTGGGGATATCAATTGGCACAACACTTGACTTTAAGTGAGTTAAATCTACATGATGTCAGTAGTTTATTAGTTGCTAGCAGACAGTGAATAAAGTTCAGAGGTCAAACGAGAATTTCATACGTTTAAGGCAAGAGAATGGGCAAGTAGAGGGCTTGACAAAATGCCCATGAGTTGAGGATAATTTGGGATGGAAAGAAAGGATATTTTGAGTCCGTAGCAACCATTTTAGAGACCATTAACCACAAGAAAACATTATAATTAATATTTATTTCAAATGGCAGGCGTCTTGATGGTCATTATTAGCCCTTTAGTTGATTTCAGGCTTCACAGAGTGGAAGGAATATCAAATTGAAAAAAGTCAAGAGTGGGGGGGGGGAACAGAAGAGTGCTTCAAAGATGTAAGAGACAAACACAAAGGTTGAAAAAAGGTGAGGTGAGTACAGTGAGGTAGTCGAATAGGACATACAGTGGGGTGAGGGTAGTTTGAAGTGAGAAGCCAACTGCTGATTAATAGACTTTTTGCCGTATGAGTATACGTTGCCCAGGGTGCACCACGTGGAAGTAAGTCTATCGCACACCCCTTCTAATTAATATTGCTATTTAACAAAAACAATTTTAAACCGAAGTTCTAACGTTGAAACATTAGAATAATCCCGTCATGGAATGAAAATAGGTGCCAAATTATCCT